CGTACGGGTCAGACAATGACACTGGAGGGAGAGGTGACTAGACAGACTGTTGGGGTGGAACGTGTGGAGGGCGGCAAACAGAGTCATCAGTTGGCGTCTAATTCAGTTGAATAATAGGGATTTAATGCTCCACATCGTGGCTGAGTACACTGCTTTATGCACAATCTACTCTGGCGCATTGAATAAACGGAAAACTTCACAGAATATTCATTCTACAAGATCAACCCTTCAAGTCAAAGATTATCGTACGTCGACGATTCGATGACCGTCAGTTTGTTCCGGCGACAATAATAGTAATAATGATTTTAATAATAATACTGATTATATTAAAAATGTTATAAAGACTGTGATGCATTTTGCACGTTAAATCCACACTCCGTTTAGCTTTTCGCGCAATGTTGATGTAGCCACTTTTACCTTCATTCGGATTTTCTTTTAGACCCGATCAACTGGATATACATTCACCTGTTTCGCATGATACTTTTATGACCTCTTCAAGCTCAACAAAACTCGACAGACATCGGGCTCTTGATCCAGAGGTTTCGGTGGATACGAAACAGACATCATCGCAATCACATCGAGTTGATATTCGCATGCTCGATCGTTCAGACTTTCATTTGGCTATTTCTGGAAAAATGTGGGCCGTGATTCGCGATCACTATCCTTGGCTTATTCCTAAGGTAACCATCACAATTCATGTTTACTTATCACATTTTATTGCACAATATATTTCAGAACATGAATAGTAGTTGATCCGTATAATTGACTTTTGAATCGCTTAGAACGAATCTCATTTAATTACCGGTGTATGATGATCATCAATCTGAAATAGACAAGGTAATAACTATATAGGAAATTTAAACGGTTACAAACAATCTAAATGGCTTTTTGTTTCATGTCCGATGATAACTTTGAATGCTGTCGATTAGCCTAAGGTTTTAAATCCTAATAGAGATAAACAATTAAATTTCGGATGTCTATTCGAGGTGGTTTGCATGAATGAGGATAACTGATTACAGCGGCTTACACTGATTATTGCGATCACTGCTTTGGCAAATCATAGATTAATTACTTGTTGAATCTGCCTCCAAGTTAATTTTTATGAACTTAAAACCAGTCGATTATCTGCCATATTTATTTGTTCGTCAGTTGGTGGTCAAGGGAACGGTATTTGCCCGTTTCTCACCGGATCAAAAGACCCAATTAATTGAAGCCTTGCAATCTGTGGGCTACTATGTTGCAATGTGTGGAGATGGGGCGAATGATTGCGGTGCTTTGAAAGCTGCCCACGCCGGGGTTTCCTTGAGCGAGGCAGAAGCCAGCGTGGCCAGTCCGTTCACAACAAAGCAACAGAATGTCAGTTGCATCCCCACGTTGATCCGAGAGGGCCGTTGTGCGCTAGTAACCAGTTTTGGCACGTTGAAATTCATGATCGGATATTCATTGGTGCAGTTCTTCTCAGTTGTTCTGATGTACTACGTAAGTTTCACAATTTGGCCTATAGAAATGAATAAAACTGTCCAATATACTGTTGGCCAGTAAAAATGGGAACTCTACTAGAACAAATCATGCCAAAGTCTGTCTAACCGTCCAGAACTGCACTCGTCATCCCTAAGGTTCAACGAGATACCACCAATCAACCTGATCTTCGTAAACAGCACACAGTTTACTTTTATTCGTATTCGTGAACCGTCTTCATGAATATAATTTGACCTTCAATCATCAATGGGAATAAGAAAGCATTCGCTATCACCATCTCCTTCGTTCGGAATGAATGCGAAAGCGTGACAAGTTATTTATCAAACTATCGGTATGAATTAAGCCGGAAAGTTCACCTTTTAGATATGGAAAGCGTTAGAGAAATTAAAACCCATGGGTTCCAGGTAAAAAAGGCTACATAAAGAAACTGAAAAACTTCACTATCGTTCAAGATGTAAACCGAGTGATGAATAGCTGTGGTCTGAATAAGCGACTGTCGATAAATTTGGCTTTGTTGCTCGACTGTCGTCGAAATATGCATCTCGAGTAGGCAATGGATGGGTCTTACAGGTGAAGAGAAAATAGACCCGAATCTCTAGGAGTCAACAAGCAAGAGTTTGACGCTGTTGTCTAGGAAGTTTTATCCCTGTTCTGAAAATAGCTATGACTGCTCAATAAAAGCCCTTACGTAAATCGAACCAATTGTGCTTCTGTCAACTTAAATCAACTCTTACCCAAGCAGTGCATAAGGGAGATGCATCTTTCGATGATAGTGGAGCATTCAAAGCCTCTTATTCGACCGTCGCTTATTCAGACCACAGTAATTAAACACTGTTTACCTGCTGAATCGGGAAAAGTTCGTTCTTGTCTTAAGTATGATGTGCTTGCATCTTAGACAAAATAACCTTCGGGTGTCCCAGAAAAGCGATCACCACCAGAATACTAGTGACGTGTTCCGGTTTCTTTATAAAGTTTTTCCTACCTGAATTCCGTAGATTTTAGTTTTTCTGACGCTTTCCATATCTAAGCGGCGAACTTTCCGGCTTATTTCATACCAATGGTCAAACTTATATCCTGTCACATTCTTCGTAACCAGCAGTATCATTCTATTAGGTGCTGATAACATTTCTCGGATTTGTTGCAATCCCAGCCGAGAAAGCACACTTACTCAGCAACCAACTAGCTTTATAATGGTACCAATATTTTACAGTCGGTTCTACTCTTCGGTCCGCTTTCCGGTAGGCTACTATTTCGATCGTTTCGGCATCGATTTTTTTGTTTACATGACCCCAGTGGGATTGATCGCGCTATGTGGAATTGTTTTTCCCCGTTTTTATTATTTTTGTTTCCCTGGCGAGAAATTCAACCGTCTGGACTATGAGCTATCGTTTACGCTACGCAGATGACAGCCCAGAAAAGAACTTATTAAATGTTGTGAGATGTTTTTTGACAGGGTTTTATTTTTCCAAACTGTCCTGCACATGCACTGAACACACACCTATATTTTATCACCATCAGTATTGAATCATTGGGTTACATATATGGTTTGTGAGACAGTCTCTGGTTTCACCTATCCACGCGATCGTTGCTAATCACCACTTATCGTTTCATGACCTCATAAGATGTAACCCCATTGCCGGTTGGGTGCTTTCCTTTCGATGACAATGAAGATTTGGTCGTATTAAGCAATCGACTGTTGGTTAGTCATGGGCAAAGTGCCTTGGGTTGCACGTTTTGAATTTGCCTATCTTCTTTTGTGATTTACATGTAATAGGGACAGCCAAGGATTTTCAGTTTAGACAGCAGCTGAATATAATGGAGATTTTCGTTTTATCAATCATTTACCCTCTGATTGGTTGTTCCCAATGGTTAAACGCTGAGTGATATCTAATGATGGCGTAAACCGTAGATATCCTCCCGTGTGATTTGTTGTTGAGAGGAAGAACCAAACAGAATATAAAAGGCTTTCCCAAATGGGTGCTTGATAATATAGGGCACGACATACTTCGCGGTAGAAATTATCGACGAATTAGTTCCTCCTTGGAACCTTCGATCGAGGTCTTTTACTCCAAAGTCTGACCCACAAGGTACTGGAGCGTAGATTGTGAGGCTACTTTGACTGATTTTATATTTTATTGCAAAAGCGCAATACTTGCTTTGGAAATGGGAACAGTCAACATCGCTAGTTTTCTAAACATTTTGTTCTTTTTCGCCAGGAGCAGCTCATGAATAGACAGGCTTCAGATCTTTTACCAATGAGCTACGAAATTCCGAAAACCAGAATTAGTGTATTCATTGTTGGCAAGTTTTAGTTCGTTTTTCTCTGCTTATTTTGTATCTAATTATCTTTTCCTTCCAAATTACTTCCCAGTCCAATCTTCTTGCTGCTCTTTCATCCAAATTGGGCACCAAAAGACAGCAACCAAAACAGGTGCACGAAAGTGCATGGTTAATGGTTGTAAGAACTGAAGCTGAAGAAATATATTCACGTGTAAATAAGTAAATTCGTCTATTGCGTAGTTCCTACTAAAGTGAGTTACTACCCTCATTAGTAGTGACTAGTGTACTGGGCGGGCGAGTAGGAAAGAGATTGTGGATTATCATGATGTTTAACAGTGAACATGACATCCGGGAACTGATTATTGAATTTATTATGGTAACAGCAGAAGATGCCAATAAACTGTTGAAGTCTGTCATGACACCGTGAACTGTCTGTTTAAGAATACATTTTCCATTCTATGCAACCCGATTTCCCCTCTACTCATGTTGTTCGTGCAACTAACAACACCTCAGTTCAGCACCAGCTTTGCGAATTTATAATTCTACATTTATATCTTGCTCTTTAGATTGGAAGCAAAGTCTCCAACGGGGAATTTCTTTACATTGACCTGTTTATCGTGACCACCATCAGCGTTACATGTACGTCAAACTGCTTCTTTTTTAAATTGCTTTGGTCCACTGCATTTCGTCCTACATGACGAAGCGACTACCTTGGTGTAATGAAATGGGTCATGCATCTATGTTATCCAGTAAGTTATGGATGGCTTTTGTCAAGCCAAAGATATCATCATATCTGAAAATCCAGGGGTAGAAGTTAGACAAAACGCAGTCTCGTTGTCCTTCAGGTTGACGTTTTGTCTCGAGTAGGCCTCCAAGTTAGTGAAATGATGAAGAAGTAAACGAGCCTCCGCTTCAGTTTACCGGTTACCATTCTGTTCGACTCTAGTTAGAACTAAAGTATTTGGTTGATGATCCCAATGGGTTTCCGTTTTAGCGGTTGGATTCTCTTGCAATACGAACTACTTGCGTTTCCATGTTTCAGATAATTTTGAGTGATTATTACAATGTTCAATTTGGATTAATTGCTAATGTTGAAAACATTTTGTTCAATTTCATATGCTTGTCATTTGTGGTGATTTCGGGTCTGTTCGAAATTCAGATTTATTGCACATAACTGTTTAGTGCAACTAGTTAGATAAATAGACCGTACAGAACGTGTATGTGTTGATTAATTTCGTCCATGCTTTTGATTGAATTGTAGGGCGGTTGCTAGATTAGTTTCTCGCAGAAACATGACTGTATTGCGAAAACAAGAGGACAAACACCGTTCTAGTCCTATTCGTACTAAAATATTTTTGCGGGTTTCTGACCACGAGCACACGTCTCGTTCGATGCGTTGTTATTCCGATCTGGTTCATAACAAATGCCTACTGCGCCACACTGTGTTTGGTTATTGTTATTTAGAATGGACTTTTTTGGTCAGTTATATTAGTGCACGTTATCATTTTGTTTCACTGTTTGTTTGAGACCATTATTCGTATGTAATCAGTGCATTTGTTGTCATCTTATCTGAAACTGACTTCATTAATGTTCCGGCATAAATCTGCATTCCGAATCACTGAATAGGTTGGATGCAAATTTTCGCATTATGTTCTCACTAGTGAATCCTATAATCGTACAATGTTAAACAGATATCCTATTTCGCTTTGTACTGTCATGTGTTTGTTTGCATACCGTTAATATGTTGATCGTTATTTTGGAGAATTTTATAACAACAATAACAGGTAAACATATGTCAGTTACTGATAAATGTGCTACTTACTCAAAGTTAAAATTTATAAACTGTTTTTAGATGAAATTACCTGAAGATGTATAATATGTATCTCTGTTGTGAATGTATCTTTCGTGAATTCCTCAAGCGTAGTACCATTCGGCGTCCGCATTGAATAGTTCTTCCCAATCCCATATTTTCACACAGTGGAAACATCGCACTTTGGTAGTCAGTTACGTGATGGACATTTCCGATCCCAGACACAAGAATTGCAGAACTTTTGTTACATTATTTTCATCATTACTTTCTTTGCCGTCTTTTATTCTCATGGTTTCAAGTGAATGTCTGGCAAGTCTCGCTTCCTTTGTCTGAAAATGCATATATATATATATATATATATATATATATATATATATACATATATATATATATATATATA